AGATTATTTCAAATATATTGAGGGATTTCGGAAAAAACTTGGTCATATTGTAAGTACTATTCTTTTATGTGGATTTTAATGCTCGTTTTCAACCATATTGTTTTGACATTATTAAGATCCCCTACTTTAATGTTGTAGCACATTAATCCATATCTTGAGGTAATTGCCCGAAGATTGTACGACAAAGTGAAAGTAAAAGCAACAGGTTCTTGTTCAGCGATTAACATCCAAGACGCAACTCTATTTGTAAGTATTGTTATCATCAATATAGAATAATATCGATATTTTAAATTGAAAATGTTTTACTAATGGTAAAACGTTTTTATCAGAGCTTGTTCGAGCTAGAGTGGGGTAAGCTTACAAGTGCCTATACCGATTGGAAGGCACCTGAGTCCATCATTAAATATGTGCGTGGTACAGCTGTTAGTTGGGGTAAACCTTGCTTCAGGATTCTAAGGTAAGTAGTTGGATTTATTAGTGATGCTTTTATTATGAAATAGTGGTTTCCGGCAATTTATCCAACCTCTGCAAAAGTTTTTAATTGATAATGTATGGATGGAATTGGACAGGTCGTCTTGGTATGTAACGTGGGTGACCACTGGGTGGTATGCCGTGTGGACATAAAGAAGTGGGAGATCAATGTCTACGACTCCTTGGCCCACAATCCTGAGGAGTCCTTGCAAAGTCGAGCGCAGACATTGGCCCCACTTACCCACTTGCTGCCACTTTTACTCCAACAGTCGGGCTATTTTCAGAAATTGAGGGTAAAACCTATAACTTACCCTTTCACAGTTAAGATTATGCCCGCAGATGAGCAATTAGTCCAGGATGATACCTTCAGTTGTGGTCCGTTAGCATGCATGTACGTAGAGCGCATGCTTGGGGACGTCTTTTCGAACAAACCGACTACAAAAGATATTGCAGAGTACAGAAAGAAGATGGCTTTAGCTATTTTTGCAAACGGAAAGCTTGTAGGATCAAACTAAACCTTTGTTGGATTTTTGTATTTATGTTGTTTGTTGGTTGAATATGTCTACACTGTCATCTGTGAATATTGTTGTTGTTTTTGTGTGGAATTTGCATTATGTTGGGAATTTGGTAGACTGATTCATGTTGTTGAATTTCTTGAATATTGAGTTTGTTGTTGATTTTGTTGAACATTGAGAAGGAAAAAGCTTATTTAACAATGTGAATGTCCGGTCTAGGTGCTCCCCAAACCGTACTAAGAAAATTTGAATGTACTAAGGAAATTACTCCTAAACCAGTTATTTGATTGTAAACAATCGTAAAATCTGAGAA